ATTGCCCAATCATCCTCACTTCCATACACGGTTGGCCAAACTTTGCTGTCAAAGGATTATGGTGCTGAACTGTTGTTGGCATATTGCCTTGTTGCATGATTTGCTGCAGCAGCAACTATTGCACTGTCGTGGTACATATTAACACAGAGATGGTCTTCATGGTTAATAAAATGTATAGATTTCATTGGACTAGTAAGGTCTGTCAATGAAGCTTATTCGCGTTCACGTTTTCTGCATTCCAAGATTATCGACTCTCTCCGTTCGCATTTAAGGGCTGGTGATAAACTACCACATTTTAGAAGTGGGTAACTATTGTCGCGTCATTTAGATTTGGCTGACTGTTTCAATGAATCTGCTTATGAGGCCATGAAAAAATGTCGATTATCTTGTGTCTTTTTCGTTTGTTGGGAGAGATTTGAGGAGCTTTCCAGTTTTCGATGCATATCCTTGTATTCCCCACATACATTTTGTATCCTTGATACTTTCTTATCATTACATATTGTCCAACTATTCTTGTTCTTAATGTTCAATTGTGTAGATGTTCCTAATTACATCACTTAATTGTACAATGATCTCGAACCGTTTCTGCTGCTCAGAATTGGTTTTTGTGTTGTATGATCATATTTGTGTCTAATGTACTTAAATTTATTTAGACGACTGAATGATCCAGCTGCATGAAACTTTCTTGCACTATAGGACATAGAGAATAAACGATAGATAATCGGAGTGGACTTGAACTTAGGCGAAAAAATTCGAAAATAGGTGCATAAATTTAACACACTATCTGATGAACACTTTCGACTTTTTTCAGTATACCGTTGTTGGGCATACAGTAGAAGGTCAACCAATTTATGCACTACAGTCCGTGAGAACACAGGATCGTCCAAGATTACATCAGGGTTCGGTGTGTATTTAGATATTTTACTTATTATTAAATAAAAACCTGCCTTCAGTTCCATTTTTAAGTAGTCCTAGAATTACATAGTCATTTAGAGGCTGTGGAAATTAGGGTGGTATGTGAATTACATTGTAAGTAGCACATTTATTTTTGTCCCTAATAACTTGCCTTTCCATTTTTCTTGACGATATGGGGAAAGTCGAAAGATTACTCTTATCGTATTGGATGTTAACATGGATTGAAGTCAGTGAGTAATAAGTATCATCACAATCAGCTGGTGGTAATGTCATCACTGGGTTAGGAAAAGCCATGAATATTAGGTAATCCTGCATTTTTGTTATAGTCCTGCTTTTTTTTTTGTTTTTATTTTTTATTTTCGTACTGTTTTGCACCAAATATTCCTAATTGCCAATTACCTCTTGAGTAATCAACTCCATTATTAAATTTAAATTTATTGGAAAAGGATTGCAGAAGTACCCATAGGAAAGGCAGTTAGAAACTCGATATGGCCAGAGAAGGGGAAATAGGGACTCACTTTTTACCAAAGAATTTCATGAACAAATATGATTTCCAGTTATACCGTGTGATGGAGAGCAGTGCTCAACCTCGTTATGTGTTTTTACGCCAGCAAGTTGGGCCTGCTCGTCGAACACAAAGAGATGATGGTGATATTAATTCATCCAATGAAAATTATCGCGCTGTGGCGCGTGAAATTGTTGCAAAAGCTCTCGAAGATAAGGTTAACTATTGTAAAAATATAGATTTTGGTATTGTGGCCTCCACATATGTCTTTTCGTTATATCATCATATCTGATATTATGTTTAACAATTAATCCTGATTATATATTTCAGCGTCAAAAACAGCAATTTTCACAGGAATCGCAACCATCCTCTTCAGGTATCAGTGGCGTTGCAGCGAAACCAAAAAAGAAAATAGTGACACCAGATGAGGGAGAAAGTGAGAAAATAAGGTAAAACAAAGTTATAAGTCAAATACGACTTACTGTTTAAGAAATAAATAAGCTTGTGCCCTTAGCAAGGCATAAACGTTCTTGAATTCAGAAATTTCTTGTTTCTGCTTCTATTATGAAAACTTATTTATTGGAAAAAAAGTAGTAGTTTCAGCCGTTTATTAGTTCACAGCGCAATATCAAAATGGAGTTCAAAGAAGAGAGAAATGCACATGTTGATGATCCGATCGGATTATATTTATTCCGGTGAATTAAGAGCAATCTTGTTTCAGCGGTTCAACAGTGGCTGCACAAGTTGCAGCTATCCAGCGCTTTAGTACACCACTTGGGTGGAAGCAGATGGGATCATGGTTAAAAACTGCTGAAACGAACGAAGATTGGAGCCGTTTGAAGTTACTACTGAGCCAGTGTTCACAGGCAAGTTATTTCATATGTTCCCAGTATTATTTAATGTCATTCTCAATTGTGAACTAGTTGTAGCTATTTTAATTTAGATATAAAATTAGTTATGAATTATTTTAGTAAAGTTTTTGTTTTCGATATTTACCAATGATGTATATAATCGCACTGTTCAGTTACATTTCACGATTTCTTCTAAAAATCGTAATTTCTTATGTTAACGCTTTAAAATATGGCATTCTGCCTTCGAATTAGGTACGAATGCTGGTTAAATTGATGGTGGGCCATGTATAGTTTAAATAAATGTGAACGTTTCTGTACTTGTTCATTTATTTTACCATGGATTTCGAACTGCCTTATCTTCCTCCTTTATTGCAAATGGATTTCGTTAATTTTTGATCACTTTTTAGCTTAATTTAATTGATCTATTTAAGGCAAATCTAACGCTGGAGTTGTTGCAATCAAACGATACTCCGAAATTCGTGCGTAAATTATCAAAAACCTGTCCTGATCAAGGTTAGTTTCAAAGAATGCTTTGTGAAAAAAGAGGACTCTTGGATCGTATGGTTTTTTGCTTTTTCTTTTTTTTTCTTCTCGCTTCATATTTCACAAACATGTGCTATGCTTCGTTGCAAATACTTTTGCTTTTTTCAGATGTGCGCAAAATATCTGGTGATTTGGTGATACGATGGAAACGCTTAGTATCCGCGCCACCTCATAAAGTACCTGAAGAACTAAAAAAAGTCGGTTCTGCAAAGCGTAAAACACCTCATCCGGCATCGGGGGGTGCCAGCAAGGCAAAGGCCATGAAAGATAATCTGGATTCTACAAAAACTGTTGAGAAAGAAGCACAATTAGATGGAAGCAAACAAAAAGACGTTTCTGGAAATAAAGTGGAGTCTAGTAAAAAGTCTACAAGCATCGAAAATTCTGAAAAAGCATCTCCCAAGGCCGAAAAGCCCATGAAGCCTTCATCTTCCAAAAGTAAAGTAGAAAAAGCCGAAAAATTAAGTGAGTCGGCGAAGGCTTCGTCGAATAAACTTAATGAATTCAATATGTTCGAGAAACTGGGTGAGGAAAGGAAAGAAAAGAAGCGACGTCCAAAAACAGCCAAAACCTATACTTCGAAATTTCGTTCAACAGGTACTGTAGTGGTCAAGTATTATTTCTCATTCTTTCTGAACATCGTTTAATCAGCTACGGGATTTTTCATCAAGAAAAGTCTGAATACTTGGAACTTACAAATGGGTGTACCATTTTTCGTGTTTTAATTTCTGCTTTAAACATTTCGAGCAAAACAGCAAAATGGAATTCTGAAATATTTTTAGAATTCTATAAGTCATTGGTGAAATGTACACTCGTCGGCGTGATGTTAATGTTGCAGTGTACAAGACTTTCTATGCAAAGAAAAATTTTTTCCAAATTGCAAAAATTAGCTTCAACTATTAAACAGGTGATAGTAGTTAAATGACCCTTGTCCCACAGTTTATATTATTACTACATTTGAACTTGGCATTCGATTTCGAGAATTTGAAAGAAAAGGCTACACTGCACAATTAGTCAATCTTGCATAATGTATTGTTAACGGTAGTGGATTTTGTTTTAGATGAAAATATATTTCTAGAAAAACAAGAATTTTCGAAATTGGGAAGTATGGAATCGTTTTCTTTGGTAGTTATAGTATATTCCACCATTTCAAATCTTTACTTTTTTTTGGTCATCTAAGGTTTATGTACTTTCGTATTTTTGGAAATTAAAATATGACTGTTTGAAAATATGATTAAAATATGATTGCTTGTTTGAGGTGACCATGATCTTCCCCATCCAGAAAAAGAGTAGGTAGAGTTCTGATTTGTTCCACTATTGTGTTGTCACCAGAAGCCGTATTGCTCTAAATTTCTATGTAACACGCATTCTAATATTTAATTTAATGTGTCGTATTTGAAATCGAAGTACTTTTAAATTAGGATTAATACCAGCTATAATAGGTTGCATAATAATGTTGATGAATTTCAGGATTCTTCTTCATCATTCCATGCAACAGGTGTTCGGTGATTGTACGAGCCGTGCTGCTACTACTGCTAACTGTTGTTGTGCATTTTTTTCCCCATAAAACTGTTCTTTTCTCAAGCATTTGGGACAACTATTTTATTTTATCCGTGAAGACAGTGCTTCTTTTCACATCATATATACAGTGTTATATATGAAAACAAACTGTGCTTTTCCCCTAGCCAACGTTATTAGAAATACCGACAAAATGAACTGGCACTGAATTGAATAATCCAAAAAGATGTTCCAGAAAGAGAAATTAAATAAAAATGAAAACTTAAAAAAATTTCAAAACACTCAGATGTGAAAGGAAATCAGCATTAGAATTTTTTTTAACAAAAGAAACTAAGAAAGCAATAGTGCCTGGATGACACATAAACAGTGTGAAATTGACGAAGAAATCTCAGTTATTAACTCTGAAGGATAGTAAAAGCGATGGATATATCTTCATCTACGATATCGTTTATGGTACCACTGGCTCTGATAATGCCATTGATTGTCTTTCATGATTAAGCCTTTATAAGCACCACTATTAGTTTACGATGCAAAGGACCATGATAACTCATCACCGTTGCGAAGAAAATATGGATTGTCTAATTGCACATAAATGTTGTCGGATTCTTTATGTGGCTTTACAATCATTCCTCCATGTTATTCGTTCCTCGAAGATTCAGATGTGACATTTGCCTAGCCTATCCTCTACTCTAGCAATATCTGTTGTGGTAGCAAATGATTTATGCGGTTGGTTGCAGCAGGCTTGTATAATCATCGGCTAGTTTTGCATTTATGGGCTAATCATCATTGCAAATGTTTACTTCCGCTGATTTTAGGATTAGAGGGTGATGATGAACTTGCGACAGGTAAAAGTGGTGCTAGCACAGTGGTGGCGTCAAAAAAGAAAGGAAGTTTACCTAGTAAAGCGTTACTAGATGCCAAGAAACGTACCGGTATGTCTTCTTCCTTGTATGGCTAAACTATTTTAGTGTAATAAACGTTTATTTCTAGTTTATAAGTTACTCCTTGTAACATCTCAAATTGCTGCTTATAGTTTGGCTAGCTATGGGTTAATTGTATTTATTTTCAATGCTGGGACGATTTGTAACCTTTTTTATCTTTACAGCTGTTCCAGCCAGTATGCCAAAAGTATCAGCGGTTAATGTTTCACCTCCTGTATCATCCGTACCGTTTTCCGATAAAAAAACTGCATCAAATGCTCCTGCAAGTAAGCCTTAGTCTGAATTTCAATGTTTCATTCTTGACTCAAGAAATTACTGCCAACGAATAACTTTACTTCAGTACTTCAGCTTAAAGAGTAAATATCTGTTATTTCCACTTTCGTAACATTGTATATTTTCATGAAGGTATCAGTTATAATAATTAATTCTTACTTAGCTTAAGAATAATGATTTAAAGGAGTTATGATGAGCAACACATTTATGGATGCTTTGATGGATCCAGGTCATAAGAAAGCGCCTCCAAAACAAGCGAGAAAACGACCGGCGTTAAATTTGAAACCATCGACATCTGTTATACCAAGTGTTATGGTCCGGTTTTTTTTTATGTTTTTTAGATTTTAATTTTAAATAGGCTCCTATGTAGAACAAATGAGGAGTTTTGGTCAACTAGTTTCAACGTTAGAAATTAAAAGTGATAGTGTTAAATCTACCCATAATAGGTAAATCCACAATTGTGTTCGGTACTGTGTATGAAATATTTTTCTCATAAAGATGTGAAAGTTGCTGGGCATAAAGGTTGAATATTTTCTTCTCATATATTCTCAGAAATAGTTTCTTTCTACAAAACTTCTAGAGCTAGTTTTCGCAATTTAAGCGAACTTAGTGATGACTTGTGTTTACGTTTAAAGCTTCAGTTTTGATTTTTAGATTGTTAAAAGGCTTTTTTCGGTTTGGAAAATCATTCAACAATAATTCCTTTCAGGAAGGATTATATAGTGATACTTCAAAATCACTTAATAAAGAGAAACAGGACGAGGGATCGGTAGAGGGAAAAAAAGAATTAGTGGTGGAGGAACCAGACATTATACCAATTGGTAATCGAAAGATACGTTTTGCTGATGAAAGCGGACAGGAACTTGTTGAAATTCGCTATTTTGAGATAGAAGAGGGTGAAAGATGTTGGTTTTTTCTTTTTCTTTTCTTAATTTCTATTTTAGTTCTATGAAAAAAAATATTTAGTTTTATGGAAAAAAAATTTGATTGCATTAATTATATGGGAAAAGTATAATTGTCACAATTTGCATGTTAATTGATAAAAAGATTAGTAAGTTCAGTTTTTTAACGCAGGGGCAAAATTTTGGTTCGTACTAATTTTTATTTTATAGTTTAGACATATTTGTTCTTAATACTATAAATTTGTTTGACTGATTCTTGGATGATCAGATTGAGTATAATTTAAAGTTCAAATTTTAGTGAATGTCAGCAAGTTATCGTCGGAAGATATGAAACATCTAGAAATGCAACGTGAACGAACGTTTATGAAAGAACAACGCAGCCTCCATATAACTGAATTTGGCTTTAATTCTAGTCGTTTGGAAGGAATCACTCATATCCCAGTATGGGTTATTTTTTATGTTTTCCTACTTCGTCTGAAATCTGGCAGTAACTACATGTTGAAGATTACTAAGCTTTCCAATAATTCCAAATATTGGAAAAAGTCTTGTAGTTATTGAATTTCAAAACTGCTGAGTTGTAGGGCTCTTTTGTTATTTATGTTGGGTTGAAATGAATGTATATGGCAACAAATACGTATTAAAATGTATTGAATTAGTCTTTTCTTATCGATGTTAATCGTTAATAACAAACATCTTCTTTGTTTATTTTAAAATTCAAAATCTTTTGCAACCAAGTATTTATTTAACAGAACTCTAACTGTTCTGGAACTAATCAGTGTTTTATAGTCAAGTTTTTATTAGCTGTATAACAGAAATTTTCAGTGGAAACTTATACCGCTTACGGATGCTATATTTTTTGAACGTCGAGGTTCGCAGAGTGAGGCGAAAAAAATCGAGGAAGAACGGCAGAAAACTATTATGATGCCATTTTATGATCCCTCTTTGTAAGTTTCATTATGCTACTGTATAAAACATCGGAAGAGTTAGACATACAAAATATTGGTTTTGGTTTTTTTCAATTTTTGTTTAAAAGCTTCACCTAACAATTTTCAGGCCAGCCGAATTGGCAGATGCTGAACCAGAGTTGCTGACTGGCGCTATATTACCACCGACCGAAATACCCTTGGAATCTGAAGCCGATGATGAAGATATTAATCAAGTAATTTTTCGAACTCAGTTAGGAAAATCTAATTCCAAGTCATAAAGATTTCTGCATTTTTCAGCATTATCGTGTTTTAAAACATAAAATTTTTTGAGGATGTTACTCGAGCTTTCGGAAATGTCACTAACGCTACTGGAGCTTTAGCGGGTCACAGTCGGAATGACGGGAAAGAAATAGACGTTCAAGTACGTACTTAAATTTCTAACATGTGTGCTTCAATTATAAGGATTTTAAGGATAACTGTTCTTGCACTTTAATGTTTAAATCTTGGCCTATTTCGTTTGTATTTTTCGTTCCGCTGATGTTTATGATAATACTAGTTGACTGTTAGCAAGCATATATGAACCAAACTAGTGAAATTTTTGCAGAAATTAATGACTGAATTGAAAAAGAAGGGCCTTGTTGGTTCAAGTTCAGATTTGGCAAGTATACTCAATAAAGTATCTTCAACTACTGCTACTATTGCTGGCACTACAGCAACATCAGCTCCTTCCGCGTCGCAACTCGCTGTAGCGACAACTCCAACTTATGCCCAGTTAACATCACATTCTGGCGTTCCAAACATCCCGAATATATCCTTACCGCCACCCCGTTTTGCTCATGGGTATCATATTCTCTTTCTTTATTTTAGTTAATTGTATTGTGGAACTATTTTCTTTAGGAACTTCTCCAAATTACAGAATTAACTTTGGAATTTCATTTGAAATCATACATCATAAAAAAAAAAACTTTGACGATTTAACGTTCTTTTGTAGGCTTCCGATGCCACCTGTCTTATCGGCTGGTCAGTATATACTTCCGGTCCAGCAACAGCAGCCTCTTCTGAATGGTCCAGTTCCAGCCGGAGTTATACCAACAGTAGGTGTGGATTTGACTACTCAGAGTGGTCCATCTACATCTGAAGCACCATCTTATGGTGCTTATGGCCGTTCTGGTAAGCTTTTTATTTGTATAAGCTTTCTATTTGTATAAGCCCTTGAAATTTCTGATTTGTATAAGCTTTCTATTTGTATAAGCCCTTGAAATTTCTGAATCCTTCAGTTATTAGCGACCAGTACTGTGCAACACGCTGAATGGAAAATAAGAGGAATAAACGTTAGTGTATATCGCTCTTGCTTCTACTAAACCTCTTGTATTATTTTTTACAGCAATCAAACAATGCACATTTTATCAATCCGGTACATGTAGTTATGGTATGAGATGCAGATTTGGCCATGGTGATGAGCCAACTGCGGGTACCCAAGGATATGGTTACAGCGATGAGCGAGGACGAAGCTTTAGACGCGGTGGTCAGCCGTTTAGAGGTGGCCCACGTCGAGGTGGAGCGGATAGTGGGTACAGGTAAAATAGACATTGTATATTGGTACAGTATGCAATAATGATAGTGATACGCTAAGATGTGTGGGAATGGAAATAGGTCCCAAAGTACAAGATTAATCGATGGGACTCAGTAGAAATTACTGCACAAGTTACCTAATGAATTATTCGAATCTTATTTAATGATTCATATAAGCTTGGTTTCACATATGATTCATATTTAAATTAAAAAATTCATCTGATATGCTTCGGTTTCAGGCGGGGCCGTGGTGGTCCTTCATTAGGTCGTCGAGGGTTTTATGAACGCGATAGGGAAAGAGATCGTGATAGGGAACGGGAATATGACTATGATCGTCGTGTATATGATCGTTATGGAAGGCGACGCAGAAGGAGTTCGTCGAGATCAAGAAGTAGAAGCCGATCGAGGTCGATATCTTCGAATCCTTATGTTGATTATTATATTTCCTTAAACTACGAAAAAAAGTTCTTGGAAAAATGTCATATTTATAAAAGCAAACGTTCATGGATTTTTCCTTATCGAATAAGGATTTTCAGGTCAAGGTCAGTTAGTCCTTTCGAAAGACGGCCATATTCACCTGATCGTCGTAGACGTGTCAGTCCGCGTGCCATGCATGAATGCGAGCAGGAAGAATATTTCGAGAAACGGTCGAGGGGCGACGATCGAGAACGAAGTGACCAACATATTGTCGGTGTTGAAAATCAGCTGACTGATGTAAAACCACAATTGCAAGAACATCACCCTACAACAGAGGGGCAACGTGTCGTGGAAGGAAATGATAGTCTTAAGGCCATGGAATCAGTGGCAAGCGCCGATCAGAGGAAATCACCACCTGAAGATCCAATACCGTCGACGAAACCAGCCGACGGTGTTCGAGTTAATGATTCTCCTGCAAGTCCAACTTAGAATAGGGTGAAAATATGTCGTGGAAGTGGTGATATATTTGATAATTGTGTTGCATATTTTTGAAATTTGTACCAGAAGTGTGGATTTTTATGTGCTTGTGTTATATAGGTATATCTCTTTTCAAAACGTGTTAATTAATGTCTTTACTTAGTTGAATTGAATTTCATGACTATTATCCAAGTTCTCTTTTCATATTCCTTTTGTCTAGTGATGTGTTGATATCTATCCGTCAGTTCAATTTTGGATTAATATCACTAAATCATAATTTTGATATTCGCTGAAGCTTGTTTCTCTATGCTAAATTCGATTGAAGTTAAAGAACAGGAATTTTGAACGGATAAAACAAAGTAAAGAATATTCAATTCTCTCTCTTGGATGGCTTTTTCTTCATGGTTTTTAATGATAATTGTATGGGTTTTAAACCTTTATTTGTTCTTTTACCTGTTATACTATAGCCGTTTTATGCAAAAAAAAAAAGTATTGCTATTTTTTGTAATTGTTACAACATATTTTTCTGTCCCATTCTCTTGCTACTTGTTAGTCATAACTTTTTGTGGTTACCTAATAATATTACATGAAAATTGTATTTATACATTAGTTGTGGATTATAATGGCTCTTGGTACCGCCATCGCTCCACCCTTTCTTTAGAAGACCATTACTGCCGAATTTATTGATTGGACATTACTTTTTATCACATAGATGAATGTCTTAATTAAATTAGTAAATTGTAGTTCTACTCCCATTAATAAAAATCATTTCTTATCGCAAAACGCCTTAAAATAAATTTAATATTTGGAAGTTCAAGCCATAAGAATAAAATTCCGGAGCATAGATTAGCTTACCTTTTCTACATGTTAATATGTTGTTAATACTTGATATTAAACCGATGAAACTTATGAAACTGTTAAGAGGGCTAATGAATTATGGTGTTTTGTTTCTTCTCTAAGCTACGAGATTTTCCTGCCTTTTCTTTTGCTTCCATAATTAGCCTAATCTTTTATGAATTTTTCCTGCGGTATATTTTATTTAAAGAGAAAAGATTGAAAAGTGCTTTTTAAGCAAAAATGGACTGAAATCAATTGGCATGTAAGTTTGGGTAAACTATAAGGAGATAATTGGTTGACAAGTTTTGATTTATTGTCTCAATATGCATCCGACATGATACATATATATTGGGTTTTAATTGAAACCGAATTTATGTGGTCATAGTTCAGATATGATATCAGGGTTAAGTTACAAATTCATGGCAAAGTTTATTATAGATACTAAAACATCATTTATTCTTTACAAATCATTAATATTTTAGATGATTGAATTATAAATTTGCTGGCTTTTCTAATTGAACTTTGAAACGCATTTGGAGTTAGTGTTCTGTTTAAGTCGAAATTTTGAAAGCTTAATATAATAGTTTTCAATATTTATATCGAGATAAAAATTTCCTGAGTTATATTTTGTTCTGATTGTCACTTGTCAACATTCGCTGCAGCATATGAGTGACAGTTATATTTAGCAGCAGCAATCCTGAAATATAATTTCAAATATTAATGAGTTAATTGTCGAAAGAACTTAATATCCATCAATGCATATAGCATTTAGAATTTTCAATGCGAATTGATAAATTATGATAAAACGCAGCAAAATTTAATAGCATATAAATGAATACCTACATTTAATGTACTCAAATCTAACGACAGGTGAGTAATGTGACATCTAATTAAAATGACACTAATGATTCAAGCATACATAAATGACCTAAGAATTTTCGTAGAATGTTGTTGGGAATAAATTTTACAACTATCAAAAATTAACCACATCAATTGATACCTTAATTGTCTTCTTAACTGGTATACGATCATTAGCACGCCTGCGGCTACTTTTCTGAAACCATTTGCGCTTTTATAAATCAATTGAATTTTCAAGAAAGAGAATACCTGAGGTTAGATTACTTGTAATTATTCATAGTTCAAATGTAAAATTAATTAATGCAAAACTCAATTATGTGGATAATCTCATAAACGCTGCTACTTTATATTTATGCGATGATATACCGGTGAGCGTTTTTCACGTAGCAAACGTCCTCCTAAGAGTTCCATGATATCTCGCTTTTTACGCCTGTGACTATTACCGCATCCATGACCATTGCAACTTCCTCCGTTACAACCACTACATCCGCAACATGACGATTGGCAGCATTGTTGGCAACATGTTTTGCAGCATCTAAAAATGAACCTCTTTCACTGTCAGTTTATCATACCAGCCAGCCTCTTTTTATATCTTCTTTTTGGTATTTTGACAATTTTAAAAAAGTAATAGAAGTTAATATGGAATATTTCAACAAGAACTGAATCTTTGGAATAATGCGGAAAGATATTTTTGCGGAATGATAGAATCGTTTTTTCAAATGAATCAAATATGGCCTTTATCTGGTGAGCGTTTATTAGCGGATTGGGTTAGTTAAATTGCAAATATCCTGAGATTTTTATGTTTTTACATAATAAAAGAGATTATTAGTAGTAATTCTGGGAGAAAACAAACGTTGTAACTGTGGTGCAAGTGGTACATGTACTACTACAACATGATTTTTGGCAGCAACCACATCCACATCCACATCCGCAAGTACCGCAACCTGCCCCACCTGCACAACTTCGCCTCATTCGTCCAACTCCATCTGGACTATGCTCCAGTTCATGTTTTGCTTTCAAATCGGAAGTTGGAATCAGGGAATCATGTTGATGTTCAGGTTGTATTTCCGGTAATCTGATAGCATCATCTAGGACAGTTGCAATTTCACCATCGATTTCTGCATTTGGAATAGCTGCGTGATTATTCATCGTTTTAATCGTACTTTTTGCTTTTGTTGTTTGCATATTGATGGAAATACATAGAACCAGAAGGACTATAAACCGATACCACATTCTAGTGATAACAATGCTTACTTGTACTCTTATCAGTTGTTCCTTCTGAAAATCAACAATCAATGAATATCTTTTTTTTTTTTAAATGAAATCAAGAAAAATTGAAAAACAAACAAATAAGAAGTAAATGTGAAAATTCGAGGATTGATAAAAGCTGCAATTTAAGTTGAATGATTTCAACTATTTTTATTGGTTCCTTTTATATAGCAATGCTTTATTCATAATTGAAGCTTATTTCATGCTTCTATCATTAGCAATTTTAATGTTGTTTTGTTGAAATAAGCCAGTCTTGCAATCTTACATTTACCTTTTTAATTATCATTTTAATTATCTGCATTTTAGATGTACAGATGTTATAATTGTTAATATCCGGATTTTCATTTTAGGTTTTCATTATTATTATTATTATTATTATTATTATTATTATTATTATTATTATTATTATTATTATTATTATTATTATTATTATTATTATTATTATTATTATTATTATTATTATTATTATTATTATTATTATTATTATTATTATTATTATTATTATTATTATTATTATTATTATTATTATTATTATTATT